ACATAGCTACAAACCTTATTTGCATTGCCAATTGTAGGGATGGTTGTTTTTTTAAAAAAACAAAACAAAACACAATCCAATTAAGATTTTGGTTTGTAGCCTTTATTAATTAATTGTGCTCCTTTAAATAAGAATATTACCACTTCCTTATTATACTTCTCAAGTACCTCTTCTTAAAATCAACAGGTAAAAATTACATGGAAAAAGTGTATGAACAAGCATCAGAAAAACAGCCACATACTGCAGCATTGTTAACCAGCTACTGAAAATTACAGCTTCATTTCCTGCTCACAGCCAGACCTATATATATTTGGACACTTGCTATAATTACAAATGCAGTGGCTTTAGGTTTGTGCCAGGTAAGAGAGATGAGAATCTGGCTCACATTCTGCATTTCTAACTCTTCACAAAACAAGAGAGTCCAAACACATTTTAGTTCTTTATAGCTGCTCTTCATAGACAACTAAAGATCTTTATCACAATAAAAACAGAAGGCACTGCCATAGAGTGTAATTACATGCTACTATAGTTGACTGTTGTCTTCCAGAAATAGGAATTGGTTTGAAAAATGCATGGTTTCTACTTGGGCCATACTCGGAGTTCCTTAAATAAAATGCTACCCCTAATCCCTGCGCAGATAAAATGGGAACTCTGGTATTGTACAGCTGAGCAAAACTTGAGAGTGGGCTTCAAGATTTGGCTTGACAGTAGTCAGCTTTCTGCACCAGTGATTAGCAATCTGTCACCACAGTGGAAAACCAGGTTTAGGCCCTGCTCTCTTTTCACATCACCCAGAAGTTCATGTCCCAGGGATGGGGAAGGAGTTAATTTGTCAGGATTACTTTTCACTCCTCTTTAGTCCCTTAAGAACCCAAAATTTCAAGGCAGCATACCCTACAGAGCTCTTCCTTTCATACTACCATTACAAAAACACCCACAGAAAACACTCAGCACTGCACTAAGCAAGGACGACTTACTGTTGGACCAACCCCCAACAAAGGAAAGGGGATGGGGTTTACACATCCACAGCTGCATCCGTGTTCGGCAGCCAGCTGGGAAAAATGTGCTGCTTAGTCTGAAGGTACATAAACTGTCAGTCAGCCGTCAGGACAAGTAGGTGTCAAATATCCACTCTGTCCCACATTCCTGATTCCTTGAAGAGGCCTAAATTAGGATTGTTGTATATACCCTAGGATCCCTGGCAAAGTCAAACATTTTGGTAAATTAATCATTATCAGACAGAGACTTCTTTTGAAAATGGACTGTTTTCTCTTACTCTGTAGCTAAAAGAAAAAGGCAGGTTCTTGCTGCTTCTGAAAGAGCATTTGCCAAAAAAAAATATAAAAAAGGTGCCCACTGGAATGTAATTATTGTGCTAAGTAATTACCAATAAATTAGAAAAAGTATGAAAAAGCTCAAAACAGCTCCATAAACATGAGTAAATATGATCTGGAAGAGGTGCCTATGAATCACACACCATTTCTATATTACCAAAAAATAATAATGGTTCATACATTTTACTACGAAACTTTCTGCTGAAGATGTCACAGATCTTTATAAACGTTAATTTCACCTCAGAACCCCCCAAGATGGGAAGCACCATCTCCTTACATGAAGAAACATTCAGGGAGCAGAAATGTGCCATTCACCTCATGCAACACAAGGAGGCTGCAGCAGAGCTGGGAACAGAACACAGACCGTTGCCTCCCATTTTGTACACTAACCACAAGATAATCAAATGTCACCCATTTATTTTATCACCTTACAAAAAAATTTTTGATCATTACTCCTGTTTCTTTTCTCAGCGAGTAATTTTTTTTGAGAGCGAGCTGCAGGAAACCTGACAGCCTCAAATGCCTTTAGGAAAGGTAGGCAGGAGCGATGCAGCACAATGGGGCCACAACATATGGCTGAGCCTTCCACATACTTAGTTAAACATCTTGCCCGTTACACCTTATCCACTGTGAACTGTGATTTAAGGTAAGTGAACATGTTTCTTCCCTAAACCCCAGAATTTCAGAGTCTTCAAGCAACCGTTTTGTAGTACAGAACTGAGCACACTGTTGGCACATCACACTAGCAACACACAAAAGAAACTGTGAGTCAGTTTTAAAGGGAAATATTTGCTACTTCGAATATCATTCAGATTATTAAAAGCATGTTCTTTCAAAAGCAAGTCAACATAACTAAGCACACCCTTCCACAACTTCAGTTATTCACATAGTTTAAGACATTCCGTGTCCCTACTCCAGGGATCTTCTACTTTAGTAAGAGTTATCTCCCTCTGCTCTGTTCTTTTCCCACTCTATCCCTTTATGGTACTTGCCTCTCTCCTCATCCTGCTCTCTCGCTGTTTCTAGTCTCTTCCCCTCCTTTCTTTACAGTCATTTCCATTTTCTTTGAAATGTTTTGGCATTTAATGCTGGCTTTATTCTTCCTTCTCCATCTGCTGCTCTTGTCTTTCTAAATGTCTTCTGGAGCCTTCTTTTGGGAGAAAGCAAGAGCCACGTTTTCCCTTTCTTGCCTCCTCTTTCTGGATTTCAGTTCCCTTCTTTTTCTTTATGGACTTGGAATCAGACAATACTCCTCTCCCTGGAAGCTAAAATACCAGCTACAATGTCTTCTTACCAACCCCACAATAGCTGGTACCACACTGCATTGTATCTGCACTCCCTTTGAACACAAGTATCTTAGGAAAGGCACTGTTAAGTATTTGGCATTTCTCCTACATACTACAAGAGCAATACTACAGAAAGCAAAATTACTGGTAAGTTTTACTCCCCTGCCTTGTGCTTGACATTTGTGGAATCTTCTGGCCATGGAGACTTGCTCCACCAGCTACAATCCAATTTAAAGGGAGTTTCCCCCTCCCTAAAGGTTTTCTTCTCTGTAAAATCTTCTATTTCTTTATCAGGATTTACAGGAAACAAAGCAGAAATAACCAAGCTTAACTACTAACACTGCCTTTATACAAATCTCCCCTATATTCTCTTTCCAATATATTTTAATTTGGGCCTACAAGGCTCAACTGTAAGACATGTCTTCCCAGCCTGCTCACTTGGCCTCTGGTCCTAGACAAGGAAATAGCTGTAACATGTAAGATGAAAATGGACATTTGTCAATTAGAAACACAGCAACAAACTCCTTTTGGGAAACCTTCAGCCATATCTGCATGCATACCTTGTAATTAAAACACAACACAAACATCACAGATTAAGCAAAATAAGTATGAAGAGAATGGTGAAAGGATTTCTTCTGTTACAAATTTTTGTTTATTTCCAAACTTCAATGTAAAGCCTGACTTTCTGTGAAAGCTTTCCTCATATTTGTTATTATCTGATGTGTTTCATTGTTTGTTATTGTACCGTAGCACTGGAAATGATGAGTTCTAAAGTTTTTTGTTTCAGAAAGGCTAAAGGAAAATATACACCAGAAAGTTAAAAAAAACCCCAAACCTTTCAGCCAGCAAGATGGATTTTGCAAGGCAGGATAAGATTTAAGTCACAAAAAATACAAATCTTTTACAGTCACAGTTATGTTGCCAATGCACAGAAATAAAATATAAGAAATGAACCATTTATCAAGGATTCTAAAATAAAGTGAACAAGAACATTAGCAAATGCCAAAGCTTATAAAAGCACCAAAACACTAAGATTCTCACTTCTACCACAAGCTCAAAAGATACAGCAAAAGCGTCAGCTGTTTCATAGTTTTGTTGTATACATTTCACACACCAGCTTTTCTCTGGTCACAGAGATTTTACTTTACTCAGTGCTTTGAGTATCCCTGACTGATGAATGAATGGCAGCTATTAAAGCAGTGGAACAGAGAATTTGACACCTATTCCTCTCAAGGTTTTCCACTGTTGTTTTTAAACAAATAAATGTTTTAAACACAAAGCATATTCCCATGGATTTATTACAAGCTAAAAGGGGAATATGTATTTAACAAGACGTAACTTATCTGAAACGTGCTCAGCTAAAACCCAAAAAGAAACCAAGAAGGAACATGATATGCTCATTCTGCCCCACTCTCCTCTGGCAGTTTGATGCTCATGGTCTCCAACTTCCTATTTGGAAACAGCAAGTTCTTGTGGCTACAAGCGATTATATGCAAAGCCATGACAAGTGCACCAGCACAGAAAGTGAGAACAGGATAAATAATTCACTCAGTTAATTTTTTGAAAGTTATTTACAATGATAACAACAACAACAGATTTTTCAGCTAGAAGCCTGATTTAAGCTGACTGACCCTTTCAGCATTTCTAAAGAAATTATGTATTATAAAACTAATTCAGTGAAAAATGAAAGTAAAAATAGAAGCGATGAGGCATCTTCTAAATAAGCAAAGCTGCTTTTACAGCATGCTGAATAACTAGTGTGGTAAACATACCACTGTTATAAATAACATCCAGCCTTTTAACATTATTCTTTAGTTAATTATTTCAAACTCTTTACAAGCATTAATGAAGCAAACCTCACGGTCCTCCTGCAAAATGAAGAGAATTACTTCCATGTATAGGAGGAAAAATGAAGATATAGTGACAGAAAACAACCCTCCAAAGTCACAGTAGCACACTTGTACAGAGAATTCAGGAGGTCTCATAGTATAAGAGAAAAAATATCCTCTCATCTAGATGAGAGTGCTTACTAAGTGACCAGTTTGTGGGATTTACACATCACTTAATTTTACACAAACAGTTGCATCACCATTTTTACATTTAACCATGACTAGTAAATGACCAAGACATATGAAAGTTTTATACTGCTAAGTAAGGCCCAGACAAATTCTTTTTAAATGGAGACTCTAACAATTTCTCCCTGCTGAGGCACTTTTATGTTCTGATTCAACACCTAATCATAAAACCATTAAAAATAATATTTCATGTTAAAAATGCCAGCAGCTGCCAAAGTATCATACACAGCACTTTGTCAGATTATAGATAAATAAATACCAAGATCTAGCACAACAATGATTGGTAAATAATTGTGTCTCATTACCTTTGTGGTCTTCTTGGGCCAGCTGACCACCGGGACACCCGAAATGGCAAGATTTTGGTCATCATCAGCATGTTCCTTCAGTATGTTCTGTTGCAAATGAAAAGGCCCTTATTAACCAGAGAAATATTTTTCCAACTGAAGAGTGCAGAGACTTACAGAAGACAATACTCCACTCTGATAAAAGATAGAGTGACAAGATCTCTGCAGGTTACTTTTGCTTCCAAACTTGCAATTCACACTGAAACTCTTGCACCTGTCATTAAGATACAAAATGTGAAGTTTCTTGCAAAACAGACAGCAAAATCACCCAAGAATCACCTTGAAAATTAAAGAATTCTTTAAAATTGGTGCATCCAAAAGACTGATGTTTTTCCACTGGTACCAGTCTAATACCAGTATCACCTCTCCCTTTAAACTCCATCTCACTAAATCCCAGACAACCCAAGGAGTCACCACAACCAACACCTTCACTCTTAACCAAGTCTACAAAAGACCTGGGAAGCAGCTAGGCTTTGCCACCATTATTTCTGAAGTCACAGGGCATCAAGTGTATAAGTTTAGAGCAATCCTCAGAAGCCTGAGCGTTCAGGTAAGTCAAGATACAGAAGTGTGCACTGTAACCTTTCATCTTTTTGCATGTGGCAATTCAAGGGCACTGCCATTTCCACTGGCCTTCCTTCCACGTGGAAGTGCAGGCCAGAGCAGTTGCAATCTAGTTCACTTTACGTGATCAGGTAAGGCATTCAGGTTCCCGAGTATTCACTAGGAAAGGATCTGACTCTGGGCAGTACAGTATTAAGGAAAAAAGATTGATCTCCCCTCCCTTCCACCCCCACCAAATCCTTTTGCTTTGATGCACTGTCCTAGAAATTTCATGAGTGGGTTGCTCTGGCTTACACAGCTTCTACTGCTGTGAATCACTCCCATGACCATGTAACTCAACACAGAGGTGGGGAAGAACTCTAAGTGTACTCAGTTGTGCAGTTGTGAATAGTCCCACGCTTGCTTCCCAGGACTCTCTATGTGCTAACTAACCTATCTACAAAGCTCTTCATGTGGAGTTCAGGCAGCTAAAAAAGACAACAAATGAAGACAAAAAATGAGTTGGAAGGAAGATTGTGCTGTGCTGCTGAAAACTGAAGCCCAAATAGCCACTAACAGCTTAAAGGGAAAAAAAAATGCTCCAATAAACCAAACAAGAACTGCAGGTTGGAAATTACCTCGTAACAGAATTTAGGAGATAACCCCAGACAATGAAGTTCAACGGTGTTCCTCCCAAGTACACAGACTTCTTGAAAAAAGCTTAATTAGACAACAATAGGCACCAGGCTCTGTCAAGTCCCCAGTGTAGAGCTTTAATAATTAGAAATTTCACACACTACACAAAAAGAGCTTAAAATACGGTAATTGTTTTAATAGGAAGCGCACTTGGAATTCATCTGTAATCATCCAACTAAAGCCTGGAGTACGATGGCATGTTTCAGGCCCCAAGGGCCTGAGCAGGCAGACTAGCATCTAAACTAGGGTTTGGACAAGCGTCCCTGGGGCTGGCTTTCTCTCCCTGGAGCTCAGGTAACCTGCCAGATTCAGCCCAATTCCCCAGTCTGTGCTTAAATGAGAGATGCTTTACTAATAGACACCACAGCACCAGCATAGTGCTGCTTCTTCAGGTATGATCATACCAGTAAGGCTGTTTTTGATACTGGTTAGCCTGAAAGCAGTGCCAATGACCAAAATAAGCAATACCAGTGCAAGCCCAGTTTTGTTAGCCTGGCACTGTGGCGGTGCTCAGGAGCTTGCATAGGCACAGCCTGGCTGGTGGGGAGTAGAACGCAGCTTGCCTCAACCTGATTGTGCTGAAGAGTCTGTAGTGCACCTCCAGCCGTACACTCTTCAACTGAAACAGCTAACAACTTTTACATACGGACTAGTGACTGGCAAATTAAGCTGGCTGAGCTGAGTTTACGTGAGCACCTCTTTTCTCATCTCCTTTTTATTTTGAGAGAGTGATGACTTTATTTACTGAACTGTAACCACAGTCTGAAAGTTAGTTTTCAATCCTAAAAATGGAGAGGTCTTTTGTATTCTCATAGCAAAGCCAAAAAACTCCAGAACAAGGTGGCAGCTTGAGAGCCATATAAACAAAGGACAAATTAATCCCTCTTTACTTTGCTACTCTTAGATTTGAAAGCTTGTAAAACAGAAAACCTTAACATTTCCACTAACGACTGTCAGAGACTCTGGGTTCAACAGAAAGCAGACTATATTCCAAGAACTTGGCAAGATAATGAAGGGGTTTTGTTATCATATGTATCACGTGAAAATATCCAAGAAGAAATGTAGAACTATGGCAGTTTATCGTTTCAGCCAGCTGAAAACAATGGATGTCTTAGCAGCAGAACCATAACCAAGCCACAGTTGCACTGACTGTAGTATCAAGTGCCAGCACACAACAAGCTAGAGGAGACAGACTTTTGTTCACCTGCTTAAAAAAAAAAAAAAAAAGAAAAAAGATAAAGAAAAGCCATGGGGCTCCAGTTAGACAAACAACATGATGCTCATCCAGCACAAGGCTGCCTGATTCATTACACTTGGAGGCTGTGGTGACAACAGCAGGTACGAAGGAAAGAAACCGATTAAGCATGTAAGAATTCAGCTTAGCCATTAATTTCAAAAGCACAGCACGGAATGACTCCCCTGAAATGCATTCAGTAGAGGGAGTTTTTTCCTGTCATCAGACTGAGAAGGGGGTAAGATTTCTTGGCAAGGAAAAGTAAGAACATATTTCAGTAGATATCATCTGTCTTGCACAAGAATCTTCTCCTGCTGCCAAGGAGTTGCGGATATTTGACAAACTCTGTTCTTCAAACTGAGTTTATTCTGCCCTAATGGACTTCCACAGTCCTTTCTGAAGGGCAGCATTTTTGCTTTGAAGTGGGGAAGGTCTGTGGCATTATTAGGAGACAGATCTCACAATCCTCCTCCCCAGCAGCAGCAAACGAATCACCATCCTGCTAGTAGCACAACAGAAATGTTGTGAGCTGAAAGCAGAGGCTGCATACAGACAAGTATCACTGGCAGAGTGTTTAATCTGAGATACAGACTGTCACAATCAAAGGTTTGCTCAGCTTTACCTGTCCTGTGATATGGGGCACAAACTACACCAAGGAGTAAGATGGTTACTTCTCTAGTCTCTTCTTAATGCGTAAGTCCACCTCAGTTGCATCTTTATTAGACTGACATGCTATTGGGTAGCTAAATATGGAGAAGCCACATGGTGAAATTTTTCCAATCCCCAAGGCCACCACCTAAGTAAAATTACTTCTCAGTGATTTTTTTTTTTCCTCCTTTTCTTCCTCATCAGTGTAAGTACTTTTCTAACAGTTCAGCTGCTATTTCATTTTTAAATCGAGAGCTGGAGTTGTTGCACTGTTTCATATTTAATTTCAGGGCACGTATATATGAAAAACAAGGTACAACTGCAGGCTGCATGTGCCTCCAACAGTAACACCAACAGCAAGGATGTGAGGGCAACGGCTGCAGTGTCTTCTGGCTGCTCACCCTGCCAACAACTACACTGCCAAGCCTTCTGTCCTGCAAGTTGGGTCAGCTGAGCACTCTTGGGGAGGGTATGTTTATCTGCACAATAATTTCCCCTCACATTTGCTGCATGTACAGCTCACAGAGAGCCCCTCCGCAGACATTTGGATACGGAGAGTATTGCATCTCCTCAGCTGATTGTTCAGATGCCATCTGCTACGGAGCGAATGCTGCTGTTGGTAATTGCTGTTTGGAGGCCTCTGAGAAGCCCCTTTGGTGGTGAACAGAGGTCTCATGCGATACAGTGCCCATACAGTAGAGCTGCAGCCAACAAGAACTTAATTCCTTGTTTGAGCTGAGGGAAGAAATGACCCGCTCCGCAAGAGAGGCCTGTGTTATGCTCTGCAAATAAGCCTCCCTTGTGCTGCTGCACACCATCGATCATGGTGATAAATGGGTTCTCAATCTGCAGAGACATTAGCTTGGCACTTCTGAATTGCTGTGTCCCCACTAGATAGTCGCAGTTAGTTAGGAGCTTAGATGACGTGTAAGGAATTTGCTTAGTTTAGTTTCCAGTCTCCCTTCTCACAAGGAAAATAAATTACTTTACTTCAAAGAGTCTCACCTACTTGACATTAAATAGCTGTATACAGTGGTAAATAAAACTACAGCTAGAGCAATAATCCAGTCGCCCATCCTTTACTGTATTCTTGCTCAGATGGGAAGGTTGGGATTCTTTGCAAGTTACCCTGATTCATTCTGTGAAACTTCACATCACTGAAAAAAATGGTTTCCTCTCTCCAGTTTAACTACCCATATCCTGTTTTCTGAAAACATTAATTTTTCTTACTGAAGCACAAAACCAGACTTGAATGTCACATAGAAAAGTTCCTGGGTGTATTTCATTAAGAAATAAAACTGCTACAATAAACACAGATTTATTTTCTTCAGGAAGAAACTTGCTTAAGACTTTCCAAGCGGAGCATGAGCTTTCAGACTTTTTGTCAGAGCATGTTCTTGCTATGCATTTGTTAAAAATAACTCTCAAATGGGTGCACTAAAAGGGTACTTTTTATAGGCTGTATTATTAATATATCACGTGCCCAAAAGTCAGGTTGCCCATGAAATAAAGCTTGTGAATATAATTGAATGCAGTCACAGCACATATGATCTGTACAGCTTCTTCTGCAGGATTTCTGCCTCCATTCAGCTGCACAGATGACTGGTGCTCTGGATATTCAGCAGGGTGAGGTAAAGGTGCCAGGCTTCTGCTCACTCTACTGCTAATGCTATCAGCAAAATCCCCACATTATTTTCTGTGCAAGTTGGAAAACTAGTAGCGAAGTAAGAGGGAATATGATTTAGTGGTCAAGGAGATAAATACCATCCTGGAAAACATGGACTGTATTTCTTCCTCTGCCATTATGTCTCTATGTGACACAGGGCAAACCTTTTAAATCACACTTCATAGGCAGTCATGGATTGTATGTTCCTACTCTTCCTCGCGCCTGGTTAAAGATCAGAACTTCTGCTCTGCAGAAATGTTAAGAAATTACAGTTTCAATACCATTAAAATTATCCTTTGCATGTATAATTCTTAAATAATGCTAACTTTTCTGAAAATCATATCCACAGCACGTAAAACCGGCATCCAAAATTACGGTCACTTGTATCTTAATCTCTTTGCACCCTAGTTCCCTATCTGTGAACCAGAGGTAACAACAGCTCGTCAATTACCACTTGTGAAGGACATGACTACGGTGGTGATGAGTATCACTGGGAACCGCAAGGGAACAGTCACATCCCCATCTTCAGCTGAGGCTGCAAGGACCATTATGCTAGATGTATGCTAAAGGGGCTGAAATCAGTAACTTGGCTACTCTTCCATCAGCATGCTCTATCCATTGAAGGCAGAAGCCCTAAACATACACTGATACACTTGGGTTTGTTTTTGTTTTGTTTTTTGTTTGTTTTTTTTTTAAGTTGATAAACTGAATAAAACAAACTTCATGCTTTGGTATCACATGGGTTACAAGGAGATAGGCTGCTTTGGCTCCAGTGCACTGTTCTCTACCATGTTAGTGAACATAGCAGCAGAAAGAGCAATGGGCTGTTGCATCCAGGGTCCCAACACTCGATGGGAATGGAACACACCCTGTCAGCGGCTGCCTCACACAGTTTGCTGATGAGCAAAGGGAAGGCCTGTGTAGGGACTCCTGGGTTCCACTCCTGACTTGAGAGGAAGTGTACTCAAGCAACCATTGATCTGAGTACAACTCCCCCTACCTGCCCCAACTCCTGCAGACCATCCAGCAAGCAGATTATGCAACCACAGGGAGAGTTATAGAGGAAGCAGACTATACGGACTTTAACCAATTTACTATCCTGTATTGACTCCTGTTCTTTGAAGATTGAGAACTGCCCTGTATGTGGGCCAATACTGTAAAAAAAAGATGGGTGAGAAAGTTCTTTAACAGTTCTTGAGATACCGTTCAAGAAAATGTTGGAGTTAACATCCTTTTAAAAGGTCTTGCTCTGACTAATCAGCCACAGGCTCACCAAACATACAGAGGTGATTCCAGAGAAATCAATTCTGCAGCGTGCATGATGTTTAGATGTGGTCATGGGCTCTTCAACCAGCAGGGAACCATAAATATCCAGATGCTGGGCTACATTCTGATGGTTACAGTGTGTGCTGGCAAGGAGAGAAAGTTCAGAAGCAGGCAGTTATCAAAGAGGATGGAACATCAAGCCTGCAACTCTGCTAGATGCACAAAATAAACTGGCAGATGGCCGCTTAAAACCAGTTAAATATGAACAATATCACCAAAAAGGGCACAACTTGGGCCTTTTTCTTAAATGTCCATTTTCAGTTCTCAGTCTCTGTAGCTAGTGAAGCCACTGCTCTGGAGAGGAGTAAGAAAACATATACTCCTACACAGTGCTTTAAACCACATATGGTATCTTGCCATGTTCTAGTAAGATGTCTCACAGTGCATTGGAGTATGTCATCAAAAGAACGTGCATGATCATATTCTGAACATCTGCACCATTTATTACGTGGGATTTCAAGAAGCGGCAAGTTATTTTTAAGTGAAACCTGGTCTGTGCATCAAGCTTGGAAAAGTAACGCTACCATTCCTTCTCCTTCACCACAAATTCAACTCCCGGTCTTAAAGCTTCATTCTAATTTCTGATTAGATGACTGATCACAAAGAAAGGCAGTGAATATACAGCCACAGCGCCAAGCATGTGTGTCCACTTTCATATATAAAGTGGCTGATTTTGCAAGAAGAGTCTTTCTGAGCTCTTGTGGTTTACCAAAATGAGTGCCGTGTATCGCACTTCCAGGCTCTAAGATTGTGGAATATAGTTCCACTGCACACTGCATATGTTCAGTCTTCTTTAACTGGCTTTGAAGACCTTTCTAAGCAGCTGTTACACTAATTGCACTAAAAAAGTACAGGCTCCCCTTTTACCATATAAACACGTATTTTTCCCCTCAGACTGTGGCTTACACAGCTCTTGTGTATAGAACATATGTAGCTGAAAAGCCATACTGTACACAGAAACAGCACAAAACTAGCAATCCAAACACAAGACCACGAATCAGAACTCATAGTTCCAAATCATGCCAAATTGCCATGGTACTGGACCTATGGAGGACAGGCTGACAATTTTAGCCTTATTGTCCCAGCAAAATTACAAGAGTATGATGCTTTCATCCTTGTTAAAAAAAAAAAAAAAAAAGATAGTTAATATGCTTATTTTATACAATGTAAAAACAAGACACAGAAAAGCTAGCTAAGTAGTTGAAAGGGATGCCACAGGTCAGAGGCAAGGTTGGGATTAGAAGCAGCAAGGCCACACTAGTCTTCAGGAAACATTTATCCCTAAGTCAGATGAAGTACTATTTCTAGTATGCTAAAAACCTGAAAAGAAGTTCTGTCACTAATGAGCATTTACTCCTCATACCATCTCCAAAGAGTATATTGTACCAGTGGAGAATAATTATCAACCTATAGAGGGCAATGGAGGAAAAGAAAATGAAAAAGGTGAAAGAAAAAAAAGAGCAACTGAAAATGTTAGACAATAAATCTTCTGAATTACAATCAGGTATTTACATTTTGTATGTGTCAGTTAATCAGATCTAGTCCAGAATGACACTAGACCAAAAAGGGCAGATTAAGACTATAAATATGAACAGACTTTTTTTTTTTGTATAATATTTACACCTGGGACAGAACAAGTGCTGAACTACGAGAGGATCTAAACTTTTGGCCACAGCTTTAACAGTCAGAAAGGACTGCATCAATTAAATCAGACTGCAAACAGCCATCTCCCCAGAGCAGAGATGGCTTTTGTTAGAGGCATAATTTCCCTCTCTGTGGCATAGCAGGCTGGTATGAGCTGGTCACTACACACAAGCTGCCATCCTGCTGCTGCAGAACTTGATTTCTGATCTCCTGCTGTCTTTCATGCCCACAGAATACAGTTTGTGTGGATCAGCAAGCTATCACACCCACCTTCATGTCCTCTAGGAGAGCCTGTGGATCTTCGATGCCTTCTGGAACACACTTCTTGTTCTCTGGGAGAGATTCAAGCTTTTCCACCAGGGCTTTTAAACCCTTCAGTTCAAATTCTGTTAGGTGAGTCCATTTGGTTGAAACTTCTGTAGCTGGAGACCCCGTTGGTGTTTTGGGATAGTCTGTGGGGGTCGTTGATTTTACGCTGTCATCTGACTCATTAGACAAAGTTCTTTTTAGGTATCTCATTACTGTGGCTTTTTGTTTCCTTCCTGCACCCTCCTTCCCCTCTGAGTGTGTGCTGTTGGGTGAGGAGGAGCCATCTACCAAGGATTTGGAGTTCTTATCCAAGCTGTCATCCTTCTCCTCACGGATATGGGCATCACACGACTCTTCATCCATGTCTAACCACGAATCTGATGAATAGCTGTCTGTGCTGCGTTTTCTTTTTGCATCTGAAAATTAGAAAAAGAATACTGAAATTTTACCCTATGTAATTCATAGTTTAAACACTTCTCTACCCCTGGAGCTAGGCACTGCCTACATAAAAAGGCACTGGATAATGCCTAATAAGTATGTGAGAGGAATGGGCTCTGTTCAGCTGATTTTTAATTTTTTTTGGGGGGGGGACGGGACATTGTTTGTTAATGAAAACCAGCATTAAAACAAACATCTACGCAGTTCAAATGACTGGGAAACATTTAGGGAAAAATTGTATTTTCTTCAAAGCTTCAGTCCTCTATGCCTTCAATTAAGAGTAGGCAGAGCTCTTAGGTCACACACAATTAATTTTCCCACAAATCCGAAAGAGACCAGATTCAGCAGCCTTACAGCTTTACGAGGAGAGTTAGCACAGAAAGAAGAGGGGAAAAATTATGGGAGAAACCACATTAAAATGCTGTACATCATCATTTTTCCAGGAACTCTGAATAGCACAAAATCAACTTTCAATACTTTTCTTCTTTGTGAGCAACTGATGGTAAAACAAGAACCCCCACTTGTTACTGCATGAATACTCATTGCTCTTCTGAGACAAGGGATTATAGTTATGCTTATTTACAGACAAGAAGCCTAAACACACTGAGAAATGTAAGGACTGTCAACAGAGTTACACGATACCATTTTTCTTTATGCTGTTCCTGATACATTCTAGGTACTTCTCAAGAAAATTTAAAAGTAGCGAAAACAATGCAGGAAACTAGTGGCCAAAGTTCCCTAAAGCACACATTTCTTCTTATTTATTAGACATGATTTCCTTTACTAAGTGAATGCAGGCTAGCAACAGCAGGAATTTCTGTGGAAAATACAGTTAACACTGGCAACACCCAGTTAAGTCAATGTGAATTTTAATACTGGCTGAAATGGGTATGAGATCAAGCTGCAAACAAAAACACTGCAAAGGAAACAGAAGTCATACAGAAAAAGTGACTGAACAATTAATGAAAAGTTCCTTTTCACAGTTTTCATGCTTTTGCAATGCAGTAGTTTTGGATTAGGACAATGTGAATTATGCTTAAGGAAGGATTAAATGGACATTAAAGAAAAAGCCCAGCATCCTGTTGTTTAACAGTGAGGTTCAAAACAAACGCTGAAGCCCAGTTCCAAGCTGTCAAATTCATCCTCATCACAGAAAAGCTCCTTGTCTCCCTGATATTCTATACCACCCTCTCGCAAAATATATGTTACATGTCAACTGGGTAACAAAGATGCAACAAACAGTGGCAGAGTAACTGTGTGAGGGCAGCCAGCCTAGCTGCTTAGCTTCCCAGTTTCAAATAAAAACTCTGTAAGGCTGGATGCACCTCTGTACATCTATGCCCCAGAGGTACAAGTTGGCCACTTTATACTTCTCAGAGTAAGTGTGCTGTTGCTACACTGTCTGCAAAAATCAAGCATCTCTGTCCAGTCTACTCCTTCAACCACGTTTGCATCTTTCCTCAAAACCAAAATGGCCATCAAATTACTCCTGAAAGGCACATTTAAACTGAAATGCCTGTGAAAAGATGGCAGTCACATAAAATACCAGCTACCAGCAAGGCTGGTTACAGCCAAATCCAGCTCTATGCACAGTGCAAGCTAACTTCCTCCCTGCATCCGTCCAAAAAAGCTTCACCATGAAGAAGTACAGCACAGTCTATTTTGTGTGCTGAGGTGGCAGCATGCAACACACCAAAGCAGCTCCTCCTCTCTGGTCTGTGCTAAAACACCCCCATGCTTCTCTTAGAAAAATAAACACGATTAGAAAATATCTTAACTAGAACATTTAAAACCCACCAGGTTATCCAACTTTTATTTAACATTGTTTTTTCCTTTGTCCACAGTAGCTAGCGTGCTTACCCATCTCAAAGGGCTATATAATCAGCTTATGTCACTCTCCCATTTTACAGCTGAGGAAACAGATGCTTGAGAGAAAGCATGATTTGCTCATTGTCACATACCGAATCTAGGGCAAAACCAGGAATCAGAATCCAGGCTCTTCGATCCAGGGCTGGAGCCCCTTCTCTAAGCCACCCTGCCTTGGTGAGCTATTTTACAACTGACTGAAGCACAAAAGCCCAGCCTAGATGGGAGAAGATGCCAGTGATAAAACAAGAAGGTGAAAGCAGATACACATCCCTGTGCTACCAGTCCAGTGTTATCAACAGAAATTGGCATAAATCTTCACTAAGAAAATTATGTTTCTGTATTCCTACACCGTGGCTGTGCTGATCAGGAACTAATGGTTGTAACTGGGACAAATCACAATCATAGATAAGGCCTCACAAGACAGAGAGCACATTATGGAGGTGTGAATAATTTACTCCAAGTAATGCTCTGGTGCTAAGCAAAAACAACCTTCAAGAGAGATCTCCACTTTTTGTCTCTTGTTCTCATCTATGGAAACAAAAGGCAAGTGAGGAGTGGAACACCACAGCATACTGGGGGCCTATTCCCATCAGAAGCAAACACACGGGGGGCCAGCAATTCCGTTCTGCCAGCTGCCACTGCTTCCCTGCCACCACCTGGCTGCACAAGACTGGCCCTGCTGTGCCAGCAGCACCTGGGTATGGACAGACAAAGCTCCATCTAAATCTAACCCCAAAATGAACCAAACAAGTGCCCTGTGGCCTGCTCTCTGCAAGACTGGCAGTTACATGATGCCTTGGCTAACTTTACCTTTGAGGACAGGGCTTGCTATTAGTGTGAAGTGTATCAGTCTATCCTAGAGCACTAGGGGATTACAGGACTTGCACCATCAGATATAGAGTGGACCGCTTTCAAAAGACAACAACTGTCTGCTACTACTGCTAATGTTTAAAAAAAAAAAATAAAACCAAGGGAATCAATAATGGAAGGATAACTTCAAGGGGAGGAAGGTTCAGTTTTGTGTTTTCAAGTGTCTCGTTGTAATGCAGTGTACTGTGACTTTTATTTATTCATTTTAATGAAAACAGTATCTGAGAGTTACTGTGTTGTGAGCTGAGGCCCTACATAAGCATAATCTGCATTTATTTTGTCAAGAAGTTCATTTTAAGCATTGTATTACCAGGGCTCCACTGATTTGGAGGTTTTTGGCTTATAAAGTCTCTATATGGAAAAGAGCTCCTGCTAAGTGCAACTGTGGTTTCTTATTCTGAGTCAATGCATCAGCCAATACCAGGTTAGAACTCCAGTTTCAGAGTGGTTATTCAGTCTGGACTCCCATACGACGTAGTGCAAAACTCAAAGCAAATAAAACCAGCTTATACAAACCAGTCAGTAATATAACTCAGTGAAGAGGAGGAGCTGCACAGGCTTGACCCAGTTCACTTCCCTGTGGTTCTGGGCAAATGACTTTCCCCACAGTTACCCACTTGTACAAGAAGTATAATTATACACAGTTTCTTTCTTTGCTGAAAGGCAACTTGCTGTATTACAGAACTTAAAAGAAAGGGAGGGCCGTGAGGTATAATTATGAAATCTTTCTAAACTCTTTAGAACAGTGTAGTGTGTAATATCTACCTTGCCGTTCCCAGCTCCAAATCCTGACACTGTGACTTGGGAGCAGCAGTTCCTATCGGTCTGCTAAAGACAGCAATGACATTGTCATTATCAGAAAAAAACCCTGGGCGTACTGGAAATGTATCACTGCATGGAGCACCCCACACAGAAATCACTCAGTATAGTCCAGTACTTATCTATCATAAGCAAATCTCTTCTGTCCCCTGAGAAGAGGGAGGAAAAAAATGGCTCCTTCACCATGCCAGAGTGTGTATTTTCTTCATCCATCAGGCTTAAAATACAGTTAGAGCCATCCTGTTAAAATTTTAGCAATGGGAATCTTAAAAGCTGCAGCCTACAGAGAAAGCACATTTTTGATAGCCCAGTATCTTCTCCCAATTACTCTTTGTCAGCTCACTCTCAAGATCCGTATCTCACTGAAGGTCAATTGTGGTTGAAAACATCCAGTACAGGCTCATTCATGATAAGAGTAAAAATAATGAAGACATATCCATCCCCAAACAGTGCATGTTCAAATCTAGTAGGAAACCCAAATAGGATCCCTTTCTGATTTCAGCCAGTAGGACAAATGTCACAGTTGAGAGGGACAAGGAAAAGAAAAAAGGGAGAGAAAGAGAGATTGTGTGCTTTTACAGCAGCCTGTGATTGCTGTCATGTCATCATTCCCCTGAGTGTTTTCCCTTCTGCAGGAAAAGATCTGAAAAAGAACGGTATCACACACTAACTAGGAGGCAACTGCCTGAAAACTCATTCTGGGCCTGAAGAATGGAGAAGGAAGCCATGGTCATCATCTTCCAACTCATTTAGAAGTACAGACGTTTTTATTTAGGGAGTGGGAAGACTCAAAGTTTTAGCCTCGCCTACATTGAGGTGAGGTTTTTTTCCTGTCTGAAGTTTTGCAAGTTAAGACATTCAGAAAACAGAAATACAAAGAACAATACAAGTTGCTATACTAGCATACAACTGTTGGGACAGAGGTATCACAACACAATCACAGCAGTACATTTTCATGAGTAGGCAATGTGTTGAAAGAATCACTCTGAATTTAGCAATCTTCACATCAAAGCAAATAAATACTATGTAATGAAAACATAGTATGAAAAGTCTAAAGATATCTTTAAAACACAGTTGCTGATGAACTCAGTTTTCTGTGTTCTCCAAAGATGTTCTGTATCACCACAGTATCTCCTTTTTTTTCAACAGGAGAAGAGAATCCCTACCAATTCTGTGAAAACTACCACCTTGTGAATCCCAGAGAACATGGGCAGCACCCTGCACTCTCTCTGGTGGATGTCCTCTTCAACTAATAATCAACTGCTGCTTTTTAGCTTCTGAGATCCAGTAAGACCACTGTATCAGAAAGTATATAAGAAAAGAAAGAAGCACAACTCAAGTGTGAAAAATAGCAAGTTCTAGAACCCAAAAGGAAAGGTAGAAAGTAGACATTTCTAACAAATTCTGTCAAGGAAATTATTTTTAAAAATAGGAGAAACATTAAGATTATTCAAGAGAGATTTCTGAAAATTAATATAAGGATGTGACGGATTTTTTCTTAAACCAAGAAGGACAGAAGACAATTAAATCTATTGAGGGGTCTGCAGAGAAGTTAAATACTTAGCTTCATTACTCTTTAAGGAGAATAATGGGAAATTTTCATCAAGGGATACTCTCTCACGGGAAATTAAGAGATTGTTTGCAGACGGAGAAGTCTCTAAGGAAGGGACAATTTAAGGACCTTAGCAGTTCTGAAGAAAAGCTTAAAAACAAAGCAGCTGGGTTTTGGAACACTGTCCTCATTTGGATATCCTACCCCACATTCACAGCAGGTGAGTGATATTAAGATATAGACACCACAGAACAAACAAGTGTAATTCAAGGATTACAGTTCACAGAGATTTATTTGAGTCAAGAGGCTGGACACTGAGACCAGTTAAAAGAAGAGACAAGCAAGTATTTGAAACAGTATTACTCACTCTGAACAATGCAGCACAGCTTTGTAAAGGTAAGTAATGTACCTTTACTCCTTCGAATTTGACAAATGCCAAAGTGACAGATTCAGTATATATAGTAGATCTGGGCTTCTGAACCATAATCCCCAGTTAAAAAATTATTTTAAGGCTAAGATTCTGCCAAGAAATAAAAAGCATGTTTCTGACAAAAAAAAAACAGTATACATCTGTCTCTCCTGGAGAGAAAGGCCCTGGATGTCAATGTCAGAGATTTTATCGGCATGCTAATACTCTGAAGTCAAGAGATAGCAGGCAGGTGGATGAACTACACGCTGTCAGTAGATACCACTTCAGTAAGCTGAAAGTACCGATCCATTCAGGACAGTAACAACAGCTCAAACTCTGCACAGCCACACACTCCCAGCACCTACCTCAACTCAGCACCCACAGCAGTGCTGCAAGTCAGATCAGCTCATCGATCCTACCGATAACAGATTCATTTTTTGGTAGGGTTAATTTTCAGTCAGATCACTGAACTGATTCAGCTCACAGGGCAGCTGCACAACCTCTGGAGTTCACAAAACAGTTTCATGAGAGCAGCACGTTTCTCACAGTACCTTGAAATGACCATAAGCTCATGCTCAAACAACAGCAAAACAGCTTCATATTCACCTTCCGCTAGGCCAACAACTGAAGCCACCAGAGGAGACAAGACCCTGACCTGGTTGCCACTAAATCATTTTCCAAATAGCAAGGCCCCTTTTCCCAATGCCTTTGCAGCTGGCACTTTTTGGTCATGTAGAACAATCCTTCTCCCTCTAGACACTGGACATCTACGGTTCCCAGTGAGCTTTTATGTGATTTGAGCATCTCTCAGCTAGTAACTGGACTGAGGCACATTTCAAGGGGATCACCAAACCATTATCAGTAATTACTGAGTTGCGCTGGAATTCACACTGGTGATTTAGCTGGAAGAGGTCCCATCTCAATATCCTGAACCATCCATTCTCCGCATCTAATTTGTTCTGAAATTACACCTCAGCAATCTGGCACCCCCACCCTGCCTGCAGGACCAGCCTCTTTCCATGCGAGTGGTTTAGACAACAGGAGGTTGTTCCTTATTTTCCAGTGAATGCAGTTATCAGAGTTTTGTCACTGCTTTATGAAGAACTGATTCAAGGGGCTAATTCTTCCTTTCCTCTAGGATGATCTTATATAACAAGTAAAATTCCTCCACAGAGTCTCTGCTTAACTAACCCTTCTGACCAGGGTCTCACAGAGCTAAGAAGAGACACAAAATGTAAAGCACCCGAATTCCCAGTTGCCCCAAGAAATTTCCCTGGCCTATCTACACAGACTATTAACTTCCTCAAGTTATTCTTGGTCAGTTAAACTCACTGGAGATTGACGTCTGTCTGTAAATTTTTCAATCCCTTCTACTAATAATTACACTAGTAGATGATCATTTCCCTCCTCTGTCCAGAACCTGGGGCAGTTCCAGCCACGCCACATTCACTCCAAGTGGTATCTCAGGGAGCAGGAGGCACAGAAATATTTTAGTCCTCCTCCACACTTAACACCTATCAGTTAAGATTTAGCTGGTATTTGTGCTACTTTCAGCCATTCTGCACTTAAAAGCAGGGAGGCAACATGGTACACTGTCTTGTTCCATTAAACAGAGAAAAAAGAGCAGTTCAGCAAGGCAACAACTGAATTGTCACACAGTGATGTAAAGCTCACATCAGTGCCAAGGTAATGCCCGCCTGCTTCACACACATCTATCCGTCTCTGCTAAGGTCCATTTTCAGCTATTGTAAAGGTTTCTTTGACCTCCCTGCACTTCGGTTATAGATCATGTAGATTTGTGTAGGTGTTTTCTTGGTTTTGTTATTCTGCAGAACTAGAAGTCAGTCACCAAACAGAAAGGATTAAAGCAGAGATTAAAGAGAAAGAATCCAGATTTAGTGACCAAAACACATTCTGCAGAGGAGACGCTCTATAAAAGGACTGAATATCCATCCCACCAGAGCACATTTGCAATGCGCACATTTCTGGCTACTGAGGTACTGAGCCAAACATGGCAGTAAATCCTCAACTGTTTGGCAGATCATCGCAACACAAACATTACTGAAACCAAGAAACAAACGCATCCAAAAATTATTTTTCTGGGATCCACTTGCTAAGGGAATGCTCAAGAAATATATTTCGAAGTAGGTTGGTACTTCACGGAAATGTTCAAGAATCAAAACCTTCCCCACCCCAAAATAAAGAAACAGTTCATCAGAATTTCTGCAGTTCTCCAATTCAATTTATAATCTGCTTTGCAGAAACCAAAGCAGTAGCTAGCCTAAGGTGCTAGCATCAGTTCTGAATATGCACTCAAAGGATTCACTCACCAATTAACATTGATTCTTTCTGGTACTCTTTGCTGAGGTGGCAGCGCTGGGTCACACAGGACACGTATCTCTCCAGAACATACCAGCACATTTCATAGTAGAAAGGATAACGGAATTTGGCATGCACCTGAAAGCAAGATCAAGACTGTCAGTCCATGGGGAAGGGAGAGAAGTTTGCAGCACAAGGGCCAGTCATCATTCTCATCATGTTATCAAGAGCACAAACAGTGTGCAGGAGGGGGAGGGGAGAGAGGGTGGGAGCCGAGTGAGATGTATGCCTTCAGCATACAAAATGAGGAGACTGCCTGCCTGCCTGCCATGATAGCATCATTTCTTGGTTCACTAATTTGTATCCTCTTGGGGTGGTGGGAGAGGAAGGGGTTTGTGTTCTTATGGAATCATGAAACTGATGGATGGCCCCTACGGTATTATTTACCTACTGTATAAACATAGGGTGGTCACATACAGATGTTAGTCACTAAAACTCAAGTTGAAATAAAGGTGTGGATTTTTATTTCCTAAACACTTATCAAAATGGCAACATTACCTAAAATGAGTCAAGCAGGAAATACATTTTTTTCAATTATGGCCTTCGCAACAATTTGATTAAACAAATCAACACACAAATTCTTGATTATTGATAACTACACATTAAAAGTAAAAAACGCCTATGTGGTTTTCACTTAATACTTAGGTAGTAAGTTAGCTTTTGCCACAAACAGAATAGAAAAGCAGGATTTTGACAAAAGATGCTGTCAAGCTGTGCACTTTTTCTTACATTTCAGACCTGTCGTTCTCACACAGAAAGCTCATTCTCCAACACTATATATTTGTGAGATTATTTCAGATGCAAAAGAAAACAAAGTGGGTTTCCTTCCTTGCCAACATAGTTTTCTATCTATGGGAGGTCACTGTACCAAAGAAGAATCTGGGAAGCTCCTAAAATGCAAGAACATATGTATATTTATTGTGATTTGTTAAAAATGGATGCCATGCATCTTGCATGCACTTGTACTTACACTGTACACTTCTTTCTCCTGGTGGCAGAGAAATCTGCATTTTGCAGGCTTGCATGCATGCATTGCACTGGGATTATAGGAACTGCTTTAAGACATTATATGCATATTAACTGCTCACCTAGTCAAGAGGTGTCCACCCACCTTTAATGAAAAGCTGAACTGCACCAGAAAGGAGCATTACCTTAGCCCATTAAAAAAAAAAAACACCAACAAAAACAAACCACCCTCCCCCTCCCCTAGATCACCCAAAACCCCAAAGTCTAAGCAGAACCACTAACCCAGCACCTGGAAACTCAGATACAGCTCTGCAAAGCAGGCACTGTTGAAACATCTGTGTGGTGATAAAAGCATCCACTTGAGCATATCAGTGCCATATTTGAAAACTGTCCCCAAAGTGGACAATCAAAGAACTTGCTTCTGTTCCCAGAGCACAGGAAATGCAAACACTTAGCAGTAAAACGAAATGTAACGAAGAGAAAATATACTGTATTGTCCCACTAAACCTATCACAGTGTAGGATCTAAATACTCCATGGCAATTCCCAAAAGCTAAGACATCTTAAATTCAATACAAATGTAACTGACAAATCTGAACTGTATGTTGCTATGGGTCATGCATCCAGCAATGCTGCACCTTTCCAAATGTTTCCCTGTGTTGCTTGTTACAAAGCACACATACCAAAAAAAGAAGGGAAAAAATAAAGAAATAAAAAAACAACCAAACAAACAACATCCCTCTAAAATGTGAGAACATTTAACCCCAGGGCCTTTTTACATTGGAGAATATTTTTCCTTTGGTTTAGTTATTTGTCATAAAGAAGAGATCGAGTCACTTATCACTATTACAGAACACAGGGGAAATTAGCCATGCTAAAATATATGCTAATAAAGGAACTCAAATTTTTCTAAGAGAGCACTGCAGGAAACAAAATTTGCAAAGAATTGACTTACAAACAGGAAGCCGCCTTCCACCCCTCAGCCTTCAAAAGGTTTTCAGCCACATGCCTGGGAATATTAAAGACATCATTGCTCAACATTTGTTGACAGATTCTGAGCTTCACCAAATTTAGTTGTTACCAATGTTAATTCAATGTGAAAGACAAGGCAGTAATGCATGCAGTGCTCCCATTATGTATATCAATCTTTAATATTCAATTTGAGTTCCTAATTGCCTCACTATCAGTGTTCCAACCCACAGCAAATCCCTCCATGCCTCTGTAATTCACTATTTGCCCGAGAAGGCTCTGCTTTTACAAACCTTCAGAAGAGCTACCATATGTAGCAAGAGATACTGTGCAAAGATCTACAGTGCCTTTTGCCAGCAAAGCAAGTCTAACAGTGCTTTAAAAATCTTTTAAAGTTTGCCTTATGTAAAAATATGGAGGAGTAGGTTCTTTACGATATTATTGGACATTAATTATAATGGATGTGAACTGCATAATGTACAGGTCCATACTTTTGCCATTGTACACTTCTGGTCAAATGAACTCTTATGGGGAAGGGGAAGGAATAAAAGAAAGAAAGAAAGAAATTAAAAATGTTCTGTGATGAATTTAAAGTGTAATATCTGATACAGACACTGCCAGAGGACTAAATCCCCCACCAGCAGGGAAATACACTAGATCATCTAATAGGCATTTCCAGCTCTAACTTCTGTGATTAATAATTTACAATCCACTGAATAAATTTTTTAATTATTCCTGTACAGCGAGAAAAATCCTCTCTGGAATATGATCCATTTCTTCAGTTCAAAGTGAAATTATTTGAGAGACTTATATCCCCCTCCAAAAACAAAACAAAAACCCCTAAGGCGGGAACACATTTTCCTTAAGAACGTATTAGCCTCTTCTACAATGTCCATTAAAATAATTACAAACTCCACTTGTGTTTAATCAATCTAATCACAATATTGAAAAGCAATTTATGATTATTCACAAAATAATTAATCTATCCACTTAAAACGTTATCTTACATTCCAGAAAACAAAATCAGCAGCAAACACCATCATCTGTGAGTGACCACCTTACGTATATATTTTGAGTGCTTTTGTCCCTATCCATGTTCAAATATTTGAACGCAGTTAAATTTAGATGAGTTGGGAGTAAGTTTGACACATTCTTCCTCTTCAGTAATACAGAGCTGTAACACCCCTATGCCAAGATGATGAATCTCTGCATGGCAGCCTGCTCTGCAGTTATTCAAGCTGGTCTAGCAGAGAGCTAAACAGCTTGGCCTATTTGACTAGCTGTTAATTGGCCTCTAGGAAAGCCAGACTGCAAAATGAGAGTCTCTACAAGCTGTAAGGCTGGAGAATATTTGTTTACCTCAATTGCACATTAGGAGCTGTTTCCAACAATAGACATGGTTTTTATTACTCCTTAAAACTATTTTTAAATGGCTATAACCCTCTTAAAAAGTCTCCCAGGGATATGAGAAATTAAGCTAGAATAAGCATGACAAGTATATAAACTAGGCAATTTTATCAGGCTGTAAATCAGCATTACCATTTCAACCATGTATTTATTCTTGTCTTAGCCGCTAAGACAATAACAACTACACCTAGCATAAAAATGACTCTGAATATCAGCAAAGATGATTAAGCATTATATAGCATGTTTAAACACAGTGAAACCTCCATAAAATTGCTCCGTGCAAAATGAAGAGGGAAAACACACCTGTATTACACTTTGATTTGAGTGTGGCAAATTACTTCGTCAATCACATCGTGTAATTTACTTCTGTGCTATACACAACAGAAAGATCAATACTGATGAGAAATTCATTTGCAGTATGTTCACACTGGCAAATTTGTGTGAACTACACGCTGTACTGAGTCTGCTATACTAGCCAGTGTATGAAAAGAATTATTTGAACAAAGAAATTACAAAATTTGATTGGCAAAGCAAATAAAGTAGTACATACTAGAATCCTATTTTGAAAATATTTATGCCTTCAAGATTCCTGCATGATATTTTTAGGGGGGGTGGGGGTGGTATTATTTCTAAATAACAGTATTGATTTTCCTGCTTTTTAACAAACTTCTGTATACCCTAGTTGCACGGCTTAGATTTTGTTTCTGTCTAGAAATTCTTGCTATTCTTTGACCGTTCACACAGCTTTGTTGTTACACGGCTGCCTACAAGCACAAGTCTGAGAACACAGGTACAGGCTGTGCCTAACACATTGCTAGCACACAGCAACATACAAGTGATTGTTTCTATCAAGTCATGGAAATTCTGGGCTGTTGGCTTTCATTAGTGTTTTTTAAAGCACTTAAGTATTTTTTGAGAGGAAGTGATAAAGAACTACACAGACTCTGAAGAAAATCTAAACCAAAACCAACAAGAGTGAAGGTCTGACTTGGGACTTCCAAATGTTGCAGTATCCCTTTCCAAAAAATTGTGACAGGACAGAGACAGATACTCAACTCCCAGAACTCCCCATAGGATCAGGGTGCCAGTGACTTTTAAGAAGCTTTTCAGTGTAACTGGCTGATAAAATTCCTAGAAGTTACCAAAGTATTTGACTGTTACAGGGAATTGTGCCTCCTGGTATAAAAGCTTAGGAATCAAAGCTGCACCCAGCCTCCCAAGGAGAAGAGCCTGACATGAAGCACTACTGAGCAATTACAACCCAAGGTGTGTGATCCTGGGTTGCTTAAGTCCTGTCGGAACAAAATGTAAGCTTTTATACAACTTCAGTAAAAAAGCTTTTTCTTCCCATCTTCCCCATAGATAGCAATGGAAATAACTTGTTTCTGGCATCAATCCTTCCTTCCAGTCTCCTCCCTTCTCTGTGCAAGTTACCTGTGCTAGCATCCTTTACAGCAACAACACACCCTCCCCTTAAGCACCTGCAACATATATATCAGGCATATATTGCTGGTTCTTATTTACAGTCACTCTGAAAACCTTCTTGTACCTAACACCTTTGTCCAGCCACAGTGAGCCCCTTCCTGCTTCTGCCATCATATTTTTCTCCTGTCCAAGTCCCTTTACACTTTCTTAAGACACCTGACATTCTTGCCTTGGGACACCTGTTCAAAGCCAGACTGAATTCCACTCTGGTCTCTACCTCTACTTCTGCTCTCTGCTACATTCCCTCTGTCCTAATACCCTTGAATTTCAGCTTTTGTCTTCATCTCTCTTCCACTAAGAATTCATTTTTCTGCTTAATATTCCTTCTCTTCATTAAAATCACTCCTGGAAACCAGCAGCCCCCACCACTGTTTTGCAATGTGAAGATTACCAGGCCTTGTATGCCCTGGAAAGTAAGCAAGGCTGGGGGAAGGACACCCTTCCTCTCACTGAATCAGGCATGTATTTCATACATATTTGCTTCAGGCCTATATACTCTCACTGCAAAAAGAGCAATTTGGGGTAAAAGCTCATTTGGGAGACAGAATTGTGCCCTGTTCTGGAGGTGAACAACAGTGAACTGTACTGACATACCATTTTAAGACTGTTTAGTGAAAAATAATTGCAACTTCCTGCCATTTTGCCAGCCCAAATCTCCGTTAACACCACAGCTGGCATCTGTGCCAGTGGTTTACCAGCGCCATCTCAGTGCAATGCCTCCAAAACAGTCAGCCACAGGAAGTCCCCATATGAATTTGCACATACCACTGGTCCATTTTTGCATCAAGAGGCTACAAATGCCTTGCACAGCTTATTTAATAGCCTAATAAAACAGTGGTGCTTCCTTCAGATTCTGCTACTTTATGAAACTGTGAAGTACATGATGATTAGGTGTCCGGTTTATTAATCAAGGATAAAACTTTCACTCCCAACAAAGAGGCCACACAGTAATCTCCTCTGAGATCTAATACTCTTTCCATCAGGTAGACGCTACATTCAAATATCACAACATTCAGATTAATGTCCCACCCCAGACTCTGTGTTCCAAGAACTTCTGGCATAGGGTCAAGTCGCTGTAGGAGAAAATCCTGCAAAGTATAGATGTCATTTCATATGCAACTTCCACTCAGCTTTTTCAATTCAGCTGTGGACAGTCGAACCATCCCAGTCCCATTAGTTCTCCAGGCTCAGGTATCCATTCCAGGTGTGCACAGAGATGATAAGCAGGGGGTTACCAGAAGTACTGGTACAAAGGTCTGTAAAGCGCAATACGTTTTTGTGCAAAAGGGAAGGTGTTTTATGAAAGTTTAACAGGCAGACAAAAGACACGGAAGGGACACATCTGTGGGAAGTAGGGAAAAACAGACGAATAAAGCCCACAAAAAGAGCCAGCATTTGAAAGTCTTGTTACTTCACGTTTACCTCTTGTTTCAATGACTCTGACACGGAGATCCTGTCAGTTCTTGTTTGTCAGAAGGAAATACGAGGAAGAGACTATGACAGATCATAGTCACCAAGAACTGTTCAGTTAAAAAGAGAATCAAACATCCTTACCCTTGTTCTGTCCTCAATTTCATAGATGCGAAGCTGCATGGGAACATTAAAGCTATGCAGGATATTTCCACCAAACACCAGAGAATCTACTGGAGTATAAACCGCATGTATCCACCCTAGAGAGGGAAAGCAAAGAACTGAGAATGCCTCGTGCTATGTAGTATTACAGAGAAATTTATAATCAAATTTTAAAAACTCCGTGAACCCCATTCTGCAGGGGATGAAAGGCTAAAGCAGTGGAAGGTTAAATGGTATGCTCACAGCCACACTTTAAGACTAGTCATAGCAGAAGAACAGCATCTTATGATGTACAGTCTTACAACCCTTTGTAAACTGGGTTCTTCTATTTATTCACAGAATGGTTACAGTGTTTACCTAGAACACGCAAGCTTGTGACTCAACCACATCCATGACTAAGAAGTAAATTCAGTCTGTTCAATACACTTGGCTCTCAGATGTATCTACTGGCACCTCTAGTAGGGTTGCAAATCATATTAACGATGGTGGGCTAGGGCTGTGGAACTAGACTGATTCACATCAAACTTCTTTCACACCAGCACCAGAGCACACATCTTCAGGTGTCAACAATTTCAAATTATTACCAGCCCTCCTTCAGAGTTGAAAGTTTCATATCCTATCACCAACTTCCTGAAGCAATCAAAAAATCTTTTTCACTGCATACCCCAAGTTAAGGGATTTAACTTTTCTAGTACTGGAGCTGATGAGACTGTTCTGACCCAGTCCTGCAAGGGACTAAATTCATTGCACAAGCTCCAAAACAAGGGAAGAATCTTCTATCACAACAAAAATCCAGGCATAGGGATTCAGTCAGCCACACACCAGCTCTTCTGCTTCTGCATTGTTTGCTTGGTATGTCAGCAGCTGAAGGACTGGCTATGCAAGACTAGCCTCTGATCTCTGCAGTGAAAAAGGAATTGATCTTGCTAATGATCTGGGACCCACCGAGACCTGACACTTTTTTTTTTTTCTTCTTTTTTAATGAAAAGCATTACAGTTTATAAACCAGCAGACAGCAAAGCAACATAGGAGGCAGTCAATTTTCTTCTAACTGTGCAGTACTTCCCACTAAAGCTGCGGCAGCTTTCCTTCACTTCAAGATCAGTGAGGGAGTAGGAAAATTACATTCAGCCTAAAGGGTTCTCCAGCCAGCAGCCACGAAAGCTCTCCTCTGCAACAATCTTTAGACCATAAGGGCCTGCAGAGCTCTATCTGAGAAGTCCTTGAGCCACAGAAGATGGCAGAACTGGGGCTTTCATTTAAGGGCATATTGGTAGGAGAGAGACAGGAAGAAAAAGAAATCAGCACTAGAATTTTCTCCCTGGAAACATAAGCTCATCACTTAGGATACATTTTTCTTAATTTCTGAATCACAGAATGGTTGAGGTTGGAAGGGACCTCTGGAGTCTACTCTCCTCTCTACCTGCTCAAGCAGGACCACCTAGAGCCAGCTGCCTAGAAATATGTCCAGATGGCTTTTCAATGTCTCCCAGGATGGAGATTCCACAACCCTTTTGGGAAACCTGTTCCAGTGCTCAGTCAATTTACATGTCTGATTCCACATGATAAATGTGATGTCTGTAGAAAAGCAGGTGGCTCAGCTCTTGCAGCTCTCAGTATTACTGCATCTTTCCCGCTCCAGTTAAAATAATTCCAGTTACAGGGTTGCTTACAATGATACAGCCTGTTTATTACTTTCAAATCAAGAACAATGAACTAGAGAGGAATTTTTTTTTTTCATGTAAGGGTAGTGTGGCAACTACATAGATCAATGCTATAAGAACTCTTCACAATGGAAGTAGTTAACCACCCCACATACAATACACCAGTCTGTACTAAAAGCAAACCTTTGGAAAAATAAATTATCTTCCTGATCCTAGTCTTTGGGAAGGAAAAGAGATCCAAGATCAAGGAAGTTGCTTTCACTAAGTAATCCAAGATTTATGTGGTTGGAGGAAAGAATGGAAACCATGGACTAAAGCAAATCTGTTGCTGGGTCCCCAAAGCCAACTTATTGGATAGGTGCTGAAACACAGGGTCAATTTGCATGACAATTCACCTTAATTGTCCGTTTTAGAGATGTACAAACTGAAGCTCAATAAAGTGAAATGACTTGTCCATGGCCACACAACTGAGTGGCAGCAGAAGACAGGTCAGAAACAGCCAGTTATCAGCAGAACATTGACGACTCCTCACCACTACTTCCCACTACAGTTCTCTTAGTGCAGATCAGTCAATGTACAAACATATTGGAGCTGGCAGATGCAACAAGTTACTTTAATGGAATGATCAATATAATTCTAAATACAATTTGTTATCAAATATTTACAGCTTAAGTAAAAGGAGTAACTGAGCTGAAATCTGGATTTCTAGTCTTATATGAAAGGAGATATCCTTCATTTTATAAGAAATAAAACGAAATCCCATCAGTGCAGTTGTTCCTCAAGTGTATGTTTTTACTACAACCACACAGTAGCTGCCCCCTATAAATTATATTTCCTCAATAAAAATTTCACTGAAGTTGGTTTCATTGTTTCTTGCTCTTTGGGTTTCACTCTCATCACACCTTCCCTAACCTCTTGACTCTGCCCCCACTAGATGCCAAGATTCTTTATGTTAGTAACTGCTGGACTTCCTCTGTAGTAGTCCCAATATCTCTGGGAGAAATGTGAAAGGATCTATGGCTGGCTTGAGCCAATGCTCCAACAAATGGTGTCCCAGACATGGCAAACCCTCAACTGAAAGAGTAATGAACATGAATATAGTTTCGATTCTGTATTGTTGAAGAGCTGGTAGAGGTACAAACCAAAGTCTTCCATAAAGTATCTGAGACAACCTCTGGCTCTGTGGATAGTGTATTTAATTACCTACTTACATTTATAATCCGGGTCTAAACTCATCTTGCAAACAGCTAGTTCCTTCAACTCCTAAACTAACATCTGAACTAACTAAACAATAGGTCCTTCAAGATGCACATATTTCTAATAACAAAATTGAAAATACTGCTTTTTATGACACAGTTCTCAATAACAAAGCGCTGTAATAATGAAACGCTAAAATCCGCCAGGGTTGGGAAAATAAAAATACACCAGACACCAAGCAACAAACAGAAAGTCATTAATCATTAAGTCCTCAGAAGTAAAGTTCCTACCCCTAACCAAAGCAGGGTGTAGGATGATTTCCAGGCATAGCTCAGAGATGGATAAGGATGATGCTCGTGGGTACCATCCCTTCACTGTTGAACAGCATTGAGCTAGGCACACAGCTAAATCCCATGAAATCCCCAGATCTCCAGCAGTTCATGTGCTCCCACATGCAGGATCCGGCTCACAGCCCCTTAGCCAGCTACAGGACACAGTCCTGTCAGAGGAGCCACCAGCTCATAAGATAGATTTTGGCTACTTAGCTGTATAGCATTTTTCAGTCACACTGCATCCCAAAATAGTTTCAACTTGCCTGAGGAATGTACACGCAATATTGAAACTGCAGAGACACGAGCACCAAGAGGTATATTCCAGGGATGTAAAACACTATGGGCAAGATTAGACAAAAAAGAAGGAGAACTGACAAGGTAGAAAACCACAAGAACACTGGCACAGACACCACAAAGGAAACAAAGCTACGTATGGAGAAAAACTGAAGAGACCAGCACCAGAAAAGTAGAAGTAGGAGGAAACAGAGATGAGCAGAAGACAGGAAACAGTTTCCATGAGGTTAATATATTGTGGAAGTAAGATCTGAGAACAGATAAACTTGGATAGCGCATTCAATTTATTCCCACAGCTTAGATGCAAGCACGACTCAGAAATAAAATTAAGAGAAATGAACATTCATTGCAACCATTTGCAAACAAGAACACCCATCTTCTAAGCTTCCCAGTTACAAAGGTTTTTAAAGAGGAAGATAAACCTCCAGAATAGGAGCAAGCTGCGCATGTGCATAAGACAAAAAGGATGGCCAAGGGGATTGCTTTAATATCATCCACACCAATACATCCTGCCTATCTCACCTTCAGCTGTGCCGTTACTTTTCGCCAGATGAACTGACAGGTCTGTTGACGTGTATGATCACATCACTCTATGCTGGACAGCATGTCATGTCTGCTTGTGTATGTCTGCATCTCTCAGCTCTCACAGGAAAAACTTGCCACACAGCCTCCAACACAGACACCTCTGAATCAAGTGGCATCAATTCTCTCCCCAGTGACTGCTTTCTACTGCTTACATAAACCCTGGTGCTACTGCACAACCCTACATGTTTCATGGGTTAGTACTAGATAGGAGAGAACATCTCTCCACCTGGTAATACTCTCAAAAACTGTAATATTCTCAAAAAAAGGGAAAGCAATACAGAACAAAATACCACAAATTTAATTTTACCCTTAATGCTAAAAAAAGCACTGGAGTAGTAGAAAAAAACAGATCAGGGACTGAAAAAGTCAAAAGTCAGTGGAATCAGATATTGTTCATTTTTGGCTGAAAGACACAAACAAAAACACCTGCTAAACATTACCTAAGGCTATAATTAAATCCTACAGATGAAAGACATATACTGTGGGGCTTCAACGATTAGTCATGAATTAGAAAACTCCTCCTCATGGGTGACCAGTTCCAAACCAGCCTGTGTCGATGGTGGTTAACAACCGAGTGAGTGTGGAACCAGCCTGTCCTTCCTTCGCAGGCTGGTCTGATAGCTCGTGGCTGGAGCACGCTGTCGGCGCGGCCACTGCACGGTCCTGCCCTGTGAGCAGAGAACCTCAGACCACGCACACCAGTCACACCAGTGACGGGCTCCACTAAATGGGGACAGACGGCTCTGGGAGTACAGACACTGCGTAGTCACTGTTCACAACCCACGTTTCAAACCTCAAGACAATGATGGTCTACTCATGGTTTTTCTGACGTTGATCTTTTTTATTTCAGTTCTTGGTGATTAATGAGTATTTTTTACTTCCCAAAATAATCCTAGTTTATGAAGCCAAGCCAACACTGAGCAGGAATTGTATTCAGGAGGCTCAGAAACATTCTCCGCTGATTTACAGTTACGAATTATTCCACCACTCCTAAGATACACTTGAATATTTAGATGTTATCATCTC